TGGAAGGGGCGGAGCCTAAACAAATGAACTGGGGAAACAAGCCAATTGGTGCACAACAACAATAAATTGACAGCTATAATAACCAATGAAATTTAACTATACATATACAAGGTAGACAGGAATAAAATGACAGTTTAAATCCTGCAACTAACAATACTACATATATGTGGCGCCACACGCGCCGTCACAAGAAAGTTATTTCATGCATGAAAGCCAACAATGGGAACTACAGATAAATTCAACTTCTTCAATTACAAGTCACAACCACAGTCTGTAATAAAACTAATGATTTGGTGGGAAATATAGTCCAATCTTAAAGTGTATTTATTCCAAGAAAGATCCACCATTTAGACGTCTGATCTTTCTTGGAATGAGCACATATTAGGATTGGACTATATTTCCACCAATTTCCTACTGAATTGGTGGAAAATATAGTCCAATCCTAAAATGTAATCATTTCAAAAAAGATCGAAAGTCTAAAAAAGTCCAACTGGATATCCTTTATTGTACCTTTTGTTCTGGAAATAGTATTCATAGTACTTTTCATATCATGGGCCAGCTAGCAAAATTAACAATAAGGAAAGCAGGAGACCTATATGTTCAGCTGAAGTAGAGAAACAGGACAGCTGTGATTTAAAAAATGCTCTTGTTTGGAATGCAGTGGGAATGTAAACAAGAGCAACTTGTGCCACCTAGCTGGATAGGACTGGCTAGTTTAGGGTTACCTAGATGTCTGCAAACTGTTGTCCAGTAGAGTTGTCTCCATTCTAACTACTTCAGGGTAGCCCCTGGTTTGATAATATCTGGATCCTGCCTGAAAAACTGACACCAGAACAGAAGGAGAAGAATGACAAGACAGTGAACATAATATCATGAGAATGCAACCCACTAAGTGCTCTTTGATCTTGGCCACCAACCTGATGATGAAAGAAAATGGGGGAAAGAAGAACAGAAGAGGATCCTGTAGGTGGGAAAGAATGCACCTGATAGGGATTCACCCCCATCGTATTTTGCTGCAATACACTGGACACTTTTTGTTGGCAGTGGAGACAGAGGCCTTTTTTTTTTTGCCAAGATTGGACATCAACAAAGACCTGAAGCATGTTGGCTATCTACTTGGGGTCTCTCTATTGTTGTTCACCAGGAGAGGAAGACAGCTTATTCTGCTTCTAAGTTTGTTCTGTTTCTTTCTATTCTGTCATATTTGCCTGTCATATAATAAAATAATTGACTTCTAACTCACTATTGCGCTTATTGTCTCTGAAGTCTCTAATAAACCTTTCCCTCTTGGCCAGACACACTGGAAACTGTGTACAAAAATGAACTGTAGAAGGGGAAATTCATACATTAGGAAAATGCATACATTAGGAAAATCTTATATATTATTGGGTTCAAATTTATACAATGCAAGTTTGTTTATCCTTGCCAATGAGGGTTTCAAAAAGGGGTTCCTTCTCATGCTAGATAACTGAAAATAGATTTAGATAAATTTTGTTTTTTTATTTAATGAGTAAATTATACTTAATAGCTACTGCTGCTTGTTATTAATGAATAGCAGAACAAAGAAGTTAAATAAATGCCAATAAATGGCAGTTATCATTGTACATATAAATGAATATTAAGCTCTAGCCTTTTGGATAACATTTGTGGGTTTTTTGCCATTTTGAAGAGCTTCTGCTTGGGTCACATTTTTAACAATGAAGAAAATATAAATTTACATAAATTGAATGTTGTAGTTCAAAGGATAGGTAGATTAATGGCAAAGCCTTTTATTTCAGAGTAATATGCATATAACTCATTTATTATATTAACTTTGTGTTTGATACTTTATTTTACAAAGCAAATTTTATGAGTGAAATCAAACTCTGTTAAAACGTATATCCTGATCAGTTTTAGGCAATCCAATCCTCATTCAAAATACTGCAATAATAGAGCACCAGAGAAGTAAACAGAACCTGGTTGGCTCTGCTTTTATAAACACATGGAAATACTCATTTTTAATGCCTGATACATGAAAGCATGTAGATTTCCACTTTGATATGACAACTCCTTTACAGAAAATGTCTTTGTACCATGCTGTGTAAGCCTACAGAGGAAATCCAGTCCTTCCAAAATGGAGTAATATAATATTAAAAATATTTCTGAAGACATGAAAGAAGATTCAAGTCATTCTGCACTTATGGATGGCAATCACATGCAGGATGAATATATTATATTTACATTGTATTTTTTCACCCTGTGTTATAACGTTACTTTACAGTAGCAAAGGGCAACTGTGGCAGAGGCCAATTTTTGCATTTTGACCAGCGCAAAATGCGTCTTGGAAGAACTGGAAGCTTGTTTCCAGTTTGTACTTTTGGGATTTGTGGTCAGTTTGCAGCTGATTTGGGAGATGTCAGGAGAAGGGAGTAAAGAATAAGCTACCACTCACTACATGAGCAAAGTTAGCCATTTTGGGGCCACCATTCTTTCATTTTCTTTCCTTTTTGGGACAGGGTTTTGGATCTTGGGTGCACTTAAGAAGCCACAAAGAAGTAATTGGGCCTGCTAACCACACTTTCTACATTTTCCAGAGTGAGATATACAGAATTATGTGGAGTGTTTTTTTTCTCATAACTAGAAGAGAAGAGTTATTTTTAAAACATATTTTGTGAGCCAATATATTTAGAAATGTATAATATGAAAAAATAAGAAATGTATACTTAACAACATATTTTTGGAAGAAGATATATATTCTTTTAAATATTCATAGAATAGAATGAAAATGCAGCTTAATAGATGTATGATTTTAAATGAAGTTTTACAAACTGTCTTACAGCCTAATCCAAAAACCAGCTAAGATACAATGGCAACAGGTTTGTTCAGTTCCTCAACCTCTGACTATATCAAGGGCTGTGACCTGTTTCTAAGTGCACCAGCATCATAAGGAATATGACAGGAAGGAAACTAATCCCAATGCAGCATCACAAGGAGGAGGCTGACTCTCATGGAGGTTCTGTACCTTGTAAAAAATATCGATGTTATACAATTCCATACACATTTCTAAATATTCATGTCTACATACATATGTCACCTACACTTTACAATAATGATTTGAGGCACCTGTGCTTCCAGAACCAATTGTAATATTCAGACTTTCCCTCATACTGCCGTGAGCTTCTCTTTTCAATGCAATCTGAAAATACATCTACCGAAATGTAAGCTACAATTGTAAAATTAACTCTTTGGGAAATGTTGGCAGACTGCACTTCATTCAATACTTTAAATATTACATTTGGATCAAAAACAAAGCAAAACTAAACAACCTCACCAAACTGCCTAAAATCCAAAAGACATAGGTATTCCAATTGTTACAATCCATACTTCAGTTTGTTTGTATGTCAGTATAACATGAAGTTATTTCTTATATATTCTTCAAAAATAAAAAACCTTCAAAAAACTCTTTTTGCATCTGTTCACTTTTTTTGATGTATTGTATTGAGAACATATATCAGAGTTGCAGCACAGAACCCAAAACTATTGTGACAAATTTTATGTAAATGCACTAATAAAAGAAAGAATTTATGCATTTATTATTTATAACAAAAATGAAATAAAAGCAAAGTAAAGTTGCAAATACAGTTCTGACGACTGCTGAAATCTGGGTGCCCACACTCAAATCTAAATTGAGGAGTATGCTGAAGCTCAGGACTTCCTATTCCCTGACCTACATTTTGACTGACCAGGAGGACTTCTGTTTGTGACCGAAATAATCACTTTAAAAATGCAATCATGTTTTTTAATAGTTAACATGCCCAACATTCGCTCAGTGAGAAATATTGTTTTAAATGCCCCAGCTATTCCAGTACTGATTGGTTGTGGGTGAGAGAGCTACTTTAATACTGATGTTTATTTTTAATATCAAACGAATATGAAAGAATATTCTGTGAAATGTACTATCCAGATACTGTAAAAACTCAAATCAGAAGGGTTTTTTTAAAAAAGAATTGATTACGCAGATTTTGGAAAGATAAAGCAATGTCACCTCAAGGCCAAATGAAGGCATTTTACTGCATGAAATGAAGAACAAAATGACACTCTTTTCATTCATTTTCTCATACAGCAGTGAACTGTTCCTCCAGATGACACTTCCAGCAACCAGAAACAATCATCCATACATCTAATGATTGAAGGCTAGACTATCAGCATAGAAGTGATGATCCTCCACCATAAACTTCGCTGGACTGATCATAATGTTCGAATGCCTGATCACCATCTCCCAAAGCAGTTACTATACTCTCAGCTACAAACCGACCACTAAGATCCTACACTTGGAAGACAATCATACTCGGACACGAGTGATCACCAGTGATGATGAAGGCTAGCTAATGAGTCAAGCTGCATGATGTTTCTTGCTGCCACCTCCAGGCATTTGCTGCTTGAGGCAATCAACATGCTGTGTCTGGAGGATGGACCAATACTGATATGCCATTTCTTTATTTTAAAAGACCCTTCCTCATTTCTGTCATGGTCAAAAACAACCTAGCATGCTGGAAGATAAGAACAACTTTGACAGGGAAAAGATCTAAGAAAAGTGAACAGAGAGCTCTCTCACCTCCTCTTCTTCCATTTTTTTCCAACTGCATTTGATCCTTATGATCCTTACCAAGGTCAAAGAGGTAACCTGAGAAAGTGGGACAGAACTAAGAAGCACATCAACTGATCTGGCTTCCTTTGATCTCTCTCATATGCAAGGTCAATGCTTCAGCCAGGCCCGATCCCTGAACATAGGACAGATAGATAGATAGATAGATAGATAGATAGATAGATAGATAGATAGATAGATAGATAGATAGATAGATAGATAGAGATAGATGGTTAATGATGAGAGGTTCTTCTGTAGTAACTTCCTGCTCCCTTCCTCTGATCTCCTCTCAACACAACTGTTTTGATATGTTTTTGGAAGAAGGAACAAAAAAGGCACGAGCTATCAATACATCTGTAATAAACACAAAACTTACCTTGATATGAGCTGCTGGATCTGGGACAGTCTGAATCATGTCCTTTAACAGCCAGTGTGTATACCAGAAGGTCAAACCCACAGGTAACTGCAGACCAAAGAAAACAAAATCAAGTATAAAGATTTTTAAAGCATGGTTTATAGACAAACTGGACAAGTTATAATCCATCTGTTCTACATGGAATATCCATATTGATTGTGCCAACCACATTGGCATAACTTTACATAATTTTGAAGCAGTTTTGTTCTTCTCTTGATTCCTCCATTGGGCATATTTAAATCCAAGCCTTGATAACTGATAAAATTTGGCTTGTCTCTTCTGTAAAATGTAAAACAGGACACTCACAGGAAAAGAATGTGGAAGAAATTATTTTGGACTATTTTAGCAAACCTTATTTCAACGAAGGCATACTCTTCAGTTTCGGTTGATCACTATTTATAAAGCACTCAGTTCCTGTTAGAAGCTACACAAATTCAAAAAGCAAGACACAAGATTGTCTTCCTTATAATAACTACAAGGCTTATCTTCTAAGCTTGTGCTACCTTGGTAGAGCCTTTCATGTAGTCAAAGGCAAAGCCTGGAAGATCCTCTGAAATACCACAAAAATCACAGAAATGCATTTGATTACTCCAATATATATTATTATGCTCATACACATTAACCCTCATAGATCTCACTACTATGAAATAATGCAATTTCATTTTTATCCCCTAAAAAGATATAGTCAAACAAATGCAGTCATACTGTGTTTCTTTTATGAGAGACATGCAAGTAAAGTGAATGGTCATGAATTCCTTGTCGGTTTTTGTTGGCACCTGGATGCTTTATTTCAATAGCAACATTTGTTTTCTTTCCCAATCTTCTATAAGATTTTTATCATTATAAACTTCCAATGGCAACATAGTCCTAAAGCCTTAAACATTTTATTGCAATTCAAATAAATAATTTAAAAACCAAAAGCATTTTGAATTTGTGTGGATATTAATTCACTGTTTTAGATTAATATTGAGTACTTAATTTCATCTGGCTGATGTTTTACACTGGTGTTTCTCAGTCTTTGCTCCCTCAGATGTTTTGGACTTCAGCTCCCAGAATTCCTAACAGCTGGTAAGATGGCTGGGATTTCTGGAAGTTGAAGTCCAAAACAGCTGGAGGAGCACATATTGAGAAACACTGTTTTGCACTATCATAGTTTTCAAAGTTGCTTTGTTCCTATGAACAAAACCAGCATCCTTTTACTACCTCCTCAGTTTTCTTTTCTGTCACTAAACTATAAGTCTACTTTAACCCACTAACCCATTTCAAAAGAGGACTCTGATTCAGAAAGGAAAAGGTAAAGGTTTCCCCTAACATTAAGTTTGAGTGTCCAACCCTGGGGAGTGGTGCTCATTTCCATTTCTGAGCCGAAGAGCCAGCATTGTCTGTAGATGCCTCCAATGTCATGTGGCCGGCATGACTGTATGGAATGCCGTTGCCTTCCTACAGAAGCAGTTCCTATTCATCTACTCACATTTGCATGTTTTTGAACTGCTCGGTTGGCAGAAGCTGGGGCTAACAGCGGGAGCTCAACCCGTTCCCTGGATTTGAACCACCAACCTTTCAGTCAGCAAGTTCTGCAGCTCAGGAGTTTAACCTGCTACACCACTCAGAATGAATAGTGTCATATATAATCTAGTCCACCCCCTAGATGGCCCATGTGGTCTCTTTCAACTGTATGATTCTATGAAGACTACTCTCTTTAAGTTCTCACTTACTTTAACTGAAATAACTTTCCAGTACATTGTTCCCTGTATTATCTGATATTAACAGAATAGCATGCAGTGAAATGTATTTTGTATTAAGTTTCTATGTTGATAGCTTTTTTTATTTATTATGATGAAATCTGTGATCCATAATGAGTTTCTATTATGTATAGATCCAAACCTGATCCTAAAGAAATCAACAGCATACACCATTTTATAACCTAGATCAATAGTCACAGTGTAGTAAGAATGAGCAAGGACCTAGATTCAATTCAGTACTGGTTGAAGGCTGCCACCCCCCACCCCCTGTGGAGAGTCCCCTCATACTTAACAACTTTCTGGCACCCCTTCATTTTCTCCAGCCTGAGAAGTGCTGCACCTATTTAATCTGACTGCTTCACATGGGAGAGGATTTCATTGGAGCATCTTTTTGAATAATTTACCCCTGTAAATTTCTGTGAATTTGGAAGGAACAGAACATGAATTGTAAACCATTTAAATGAGGGATAAAGCAAACCTGACAAGTCGCCCACCTCTACCATGCAAGCAAAGTTTTTATTTATGCAATTACGATTGCAGCATCTCAGGCTATGGTACAAAAACAGGTCACCTTGTTCTTTTAATGTTTGGCTGCTTCACAAATTTGCTAATTTCATTTTGCACCAAACAATCCATTCTGATTTAAATAACACCATTCTTTGTGTGTTATAGAGTGGTTATTCTTAGCTCCTTAAATGTCACTTATTAAACAGTTGAGCTTATGAATTTGGAAATGCCAAATATGTCAGAAAATGCCAGAGAACTGTCTGAAAGAGGAGTAGGTATACTGCTGTGTGGCTCTTATTTCACATTTTGGTTTTACAGCCACTGGAAAAAATGTGAAAATGCGTCAAAGAAAATCTTAATTCTGTATAGTTGCTGATTTTTGTCATCACAGAACATGCAAATGTTGCCATAGATGAATAATGCATACTATTATTAGATTCATATACCCTACTTTCCAAATTTCTTCAAAAAATTTAAACTCAGATAATCAGAATGATTTCTTCATAATGCAATAATGACTAACATGCTCCTGTAAATCTGGTTTTGCTTAATGAAAGATGGGGTGTTTCCTAAAGTTCACCTCAATTACCTGAATGTGAAAATGTTCCACAGCTAGGACCATATGCCCCAAGTTGAGCTTTAAAACTAATAATCATATAAAATTGCTCTGATAGCCTAGTTCTGGTGGCCATAATGACATTATAATGACAATGCATGAGATTAAATATTAAAAGCACAGGACTAAGAATCACATGACATGGAAAGTGGCTGGAACTCTTGACTTGAAAATATGCCAAAATGGAGACTCAATTGAGTGAGAGTAATAGTGCCGGGTAAATTCCATCATTCCCTTCCAAACCATATCCTTTGAAGCTGCCATTGGCCCAATGTGTGTATCTGTGTGGGTGGGTGAGAGATCTGTAATGTGACAAGACTTTTTTCAACCAGTAAAGTTAAGTTAATGTACATCTGAAGTGAAATGGTATAGCAAGCTCTCAAGGTTGCTCTCTCATCTGTTTGAGTCCAAACAAGGTTACAGTCTCTTCTACAGAAAATGACATTGAACTATGGTTGGAAAATATTACCCTCCCCCCCCCCCATCTTTGACACATATTTGGTCCCAAAAATGCTAGAGCTCATACAAATTCCATGTGCTATTTATCACATGCCAGAAAATTACTGGACCAGATTATCATTAACACTCTCGATTTGGCATCCGTTACATCTACAAAATGCACATGTTGCTCTATATGAACTAGGTTGTCATAGAGTGGTATACTATGCAAAGTGAATTGGGTTATTTTTATTAAATAGTATGTCTCTCAGATATCAACAACAACAAAAATTCAAATTATCTGCGCTATTCTCTAATGCACATTCTTTAAAAGTAGATTTTAGCAGAATTTACTTTTTAACTAAATTAAGTGGTTCCCTCAAGTAGATTCTGGATGGTGTGTACAGCTAACTGGGAAACCATATTCAATTTTCTCAGATTTCAAAGACAAAAAATTGAAAAGCTTGCCCTTTGTCACAGAAGAAAGGTTGTGGAGAGTTGTAAGAGAGGCCAGTACTGTTCTTAGTCCAGCTGATTTTAGAAACTGACTCAAGGGGAAAGTAAATGGACCCAGAATCTGGTGAAACACAGCCATGCAGGAATTATGGTCATCCAAAATTAGGGAGAAAGAACACACGTTGATGGGAAAATGCACCCAGCCATTGCCAAAGTTACACACAACCTTACCTATACCAGATATGGTCCTATGTTGATGAAGCAGTTTGTGGAAATATCAAAGCCACTCCAGTTATGACCTTTTTGTAAATGTCCATGCCTTTGCTGTAGGATTTGTGTAACATGGATCATCATGTTGGCCCGGGCCTGTTCTATTTGGCATAATGTATACACAAATACCAGCTCTCTGCAGACCCCTTCAGTTGTCCCTGGCTTTTGGATATGCGGATGCACATCCAGGCACAACACAAAAATCTTCATGCTCCGCCACTATGCTCTACTAAAAGCAGGAAATGTGTGGAGATGGGCACATAGGCTCACTCACAAAACTCAAACTTTGTCTTCTTCCATTGCCTCATATCTTGAGATGTGGCAGCCTCAGAGAGGGAAGCTATGATATCTCACACCAAACTATGTCTCTCTGTTCAAGACAAAGCTCTCATCAAGGCATCAAAATACAGACACATTAATTTTCTTTTCTCTGTTTGATAAGGTGCACAATGAAGTTACACCACAAATTTTTAAGTAAAATCAAATTATCAGCATTAGTTTTTGTAAACTGAAATGATGGTTGGACATCTAGTGCTTCATTTTAGACAGCAATATGCCTTTGAGTGGCCCTGAAATGGAAATATAAGGAGGAAATATTCTGATAAAAAACCCAAAATACTATTACATCAGCACTGAATGTCAAAAGGGAAAGAATATGTCCACCCCTGAGAGGGAGGCAATTGTCTTGGTGAGAGTGGTCACAATGAAAACTAAGGAACACTGGGGGACAGGCCAACTAAAAGTAAATCTACAGAGTGGATACTGGAAATGGCAGTTGTCAATGAAAGTTACTGAAACATTCTCTTTCCACCTCTTTTTCTAAGTGCAGAGTTTGTAGAGAAGGAAAGAGAAAATTTCATTAGTGCTCTTGTACTATGAAATTGTTTACCATATGTATTGTGATGGCCACAAACCCAGGTGGGTTGAAAAGGGAATAACATTATCAGTGGCTGCTAGTGATGATGACATCTGATGGCTACATATTACTTGAACCAATGTCAGACGAAATATGCCTTTGT